CGGCAGTGATCAATATATGTGAACATTAAATATTTTTAAGCATGCTAGGTGCTTCAAATTTGATCGACAAAAAAACATGTCACAGCGTTACGTTTGTTTTTTGCATTTTTTATCTAAGCAAAAATAGTTTAGAAAAAATATTTTTTACTGCTTGAAAGCTCATTCAATTCTCTACAAAACTGGCACCATAAGCGTTTCATTTAAAGAAATAATTTGTCAAAAAAATTAGAGTTTCATAAGCAGCTCTAGAGAAAAAGAGTCCTTTTTTGTCACAGCGTTACGTGATGGTAAAACCTTTCTAGAAACACGAGAGTTCAGTCAAACTAGGTCGTTCTTGCAACATGAATAGAGTATGATGAGCTGCGTCGAATGACGTTTGAACGATCTTATTAATCTTTATGCCTTTCGAGATAACTGCAAAGCAATTTGTCAAAATGTCACAGCGTCACGTTTGGACAAGCCGATTAATTGAAGATTGATCAAATAGCATAGAAAAATAGAGCATCGTTTTCTGTATCACTACATAAAAAAAAAAGAAAATTTCTTCAAGCATTCTATAAGAAATTGCTATAACTCCGTAAAGACATTTGATATGCCCTAATTATTAATTACCCATGTTAGAACAAATGAATGTACGGAACTAAGTTTCTATAGTTCCGATCTCGTATGTCTCTATTTATGACTTATACGATCGATATAATAGAACAGTCAAAAAAATTGAAGTATACATAATAAGAATCGTTTACTTTGTTGGATTTAATCTGATTTTTTTTTTCATAAGTTAAATTTTCTTTTCAATTCGTACGTATATTTCAAACTCAATTGAATTCTTATGTAAATGATATGACTGTTTAGATATTTTTAATGCTCCGAATGTACAGTTCTATTTTTATAATATCATGACGATCTACTTCTGGTAGTTGAACTCTCAATAAATTCGACATTGTTTCTAAAATATAGATATGTTCCTCATATTGCATATCGGATGATTCTAAGTACGAATGTTAATTTGATGAGAATTCTGTATAACATAATGACTCATTTTTTATTGCTTTGCAAATAAAATTTTAAACTTGTCAAATTATTATTTTACATTTTAAGATACATAGACAAAGTTCAATATTTAAATTTATTCACTATTACATAAATTATACAAAATCAACTTACTACAGTATGCCATCTGCTTTTCAGTTTCTGAATCATTTATATCAATTATTGTTGTATCCTTAAAAAAATTTGTCGGAATGAATCCATGCTCTATTAGCTTTCTGATAAAGAATTTCATCATCCATCCTGGATATGTGTGACAGTACCACCTATCTTTAAGTTTATAAAAGGAGCCAAATTAATATTTTCATCGATTTTACACACATCAATTGCTCGGGTGAGAAGAGCAAAGTATATTTCTTTTGAGTGCATACCAACAGAATATTTATTAGCGATGTGCTTTATCTATGAATGTATGAAGTACATGATTCATAGAAACTCATTTTTGATTACTATTGAGATCAGATCCAAGTATTTCATTAACACTCTTATTCTATTGGATAATAACTGAAAACTATCTATAAAATGCGTCATATGTATTTTTCTCACTTGACAATAGAGTATATTTGTTTACGCTATCCGTATGCAAAAGAAACTTTAAATAAGATTAACAAAAAAATCAGCTCATTTGATTGAATCCAAGCAAAACTTTTTTTCGTAGTACTATTTATGGTTCAACCTATATTGGTAACATTATTATTGGTGCTCTCTCTCTCTCTTTCATGAAAAGTATTCTATCAGGTGATATTTAATATCACATAGTAGAACATCTACTATATGAATATGCCATCCTAAGTTAACATCGTTTTCAGGAATGCTCTGAATCCGCTGAAAAAAAAATTCTACTCTTCGATATCATTTTTGATTGATGTATAGAAATTAAAAACAAAAACCACGTCATATATTTTTGTGTTAATATTTAAATATATTAAAACATCACTGGGTAATTTTGCTAATTTTATATGAAAATAAAAATTTCCAACGAAAATTTTTTGTTTTTTTTTATTACTCATCATAATACAAAATGCATAAATGCATTAATTTTTCTCTTCCTCCTTTCAATACTTAAAAAAGTCCATAGAATACCATATACCATTGTTATTATTGTTATTTTCTTTCGACATTCATTTTCAGATCGAATTCATCAGACAGACAAAGAAGAGAAATTTATTAATAATGAGTTCACCTCCAATTTCAGCTAGTGGTGGTGGTTCTCGTCGTGCACGTTATTCACGTTCACCATCAAGTGGTGGTGTACCACCATCAAAACGTTCAAAACCATCAAGTTCAATTGATGCTGGTAATAATTCTGAACATCATCGACTTTATACATCAATTTGTGTAAAAAATATTAATCCAAAAATTCCCGATCTTGGTAAATGAATAAAATACAAAAAAAAAAAAATTTTTGATAATTTTATTTTTATTTTTTCGTATAGAAGTTCGTGAATTGTGTAATAAAAAATTTTCAAAATATGGTACAAATTCAGTTAAAATTTATTATAAAAATCAAGAACGTGTTGCTTTTGTTAATTTTACTAATTGTGAAGATGCAAGAAAAGCACGTCATGCTAAAACAGGTCTTGTTTGGGAAAATATTCAAGTTGTTCTAGAACCGTATGTTTATTCAAAATTTTTTTCTTTTTTTGAATATTATTTATTGTAAATTTTAGTGTTTACTATCGTCGTACTGTACCAGCTGAACAACCACTTAATCCTGGTAGTCCACGTGAACGTTCACCACCATCACCAAAACGTCGTCCACGTCGTCCATCACCAAGTCCACCACCGCCACCTATTAGTTCTCGTAGTAGTCGACATCATCATACATCATCACCACCACCATCATCATCATCTCGTTCACGTCGACATTATTCACCATATATACCACTACCACCTGATTTAGCTGATTATGCTACAACAAAAGCTAATCGACATCGACAAGGTTCATCACCATCACCAACACGTGATTATCATCATCATCGACGACATACAACTCGTAGTCGATCTATATCAACATCACCTGTAACATTTAAAAATCGTGGAAAATATGAAGATCATGCACCAAATCGTGTTGAATCAAATGTTCAACATGAACCAACACGTACATTATTTGTTGGAAATCTTGAACGAGATATACGTGAATCAAAATTAAAAGAAGTTTTTGGTCGATATGGAACAATTGAAGAAAGTAAGATCGATGATATCTAGTAAATAAAAAAATCTTCGGACTTGATAGAAAATCCTTTGTGTTAGATAAATATTTTCTTCAGATTATTCAATTTAAATTTTTTTTTTTTTTTTATCTATAGTTGATCTTAAAGTTCCACAATCATCATCCAAACGTGCATATGCTTTTATACAATATGAAAATATGGATATGGCATATGAAGCAAGACGTGCAATGGATGGACATTTTATTGGTAAAGCAGATTGTAAAATTGGATATGGTAAGTAATATTGAAAGAAAAAAACAAAAGATTTTTTTTTCTCTCTTAATCCAAATACCTTCCTAAAGTTTGCTTGCTTGTTGTGGCTATATATGTATTGAGTATTTATGCTTGATTATGCATTATATTTTTATTTTTTTTTTTGTTTTTGTTTTTTGTTTTCTAAAATCTTTAATTCTGTTTTGACACTTCTTATTTTTAGAAATTTATATTAATTGTGTTATATACACAATTTTATTTGGCGTGATGCATTTGCGTTTGAGAGGTCCTTATATATATTAAAAAAAGGAAACAGAAACAGAAATTGATTTAGGAAACTTCATATACAATAATATAGAATAATAATATAATATACATACATATAAAATTTTTATTTGATGATAAATGATAATTTAAATTTAAAAGTGATATATATGTATTTGACAAAAACAAAATGTATAATAAGAGTATGCAATTTTGGTCCAAAATGTTTTTAATTAATATTTTATTTGATAATGGTGATATATATATACATATAATGTCATT